TTCTTGGATCTCATTTAAGAAAATCTCTCCCAGGTGGCACCTGTGGCTCAGTGGGTAGGGTGCCGGCCCCTTGTACTGAAGGTGGTGAGTTCGAACCCGGCCCCAGCCAAATTGCAACAAAAAAATAGCTGGGTGTTGTAGTAGGCACTTGTAGTCCCAGCTGCTTGGGAGGCTGAGGCAAGAGAATCTCCTAAGCCCAAGAGCTGGAGGTTGCTGTGAGCTGTGACGCCATGGCACTCTACCAAGTACAACAAAGTGAGACTCTGTCTCTCTAAAAGAAAAGAAAGAAAATCTCTCCCATTCTAAGATCAGAAAATGTTCAAATAGAGTTTCCTTTGAAAATTTTATGTTTTCCTTTTAGCATTCAAGTGCTTAATCTACCTGGAGTTGACTGTTGTGTGTGGTGTATGGTGTTGAACCACATATGTGCCTCCTTTTTTCTTAATCCCTTCCTCCCTCTCTCCTCCATAGAACTACATGCCAATTCTGTCATATATCAAAATTCTATATATGAGTGGGCCTCTTTCTGTGGCCTCTATTCTTATCAAATGATCAATTTTACTGTCCCTAAGACAAAACTGTCTATAGAGTCGACAGAGCCTAAAGATTCGAAAATAAGTCCTAATATCTAACAGAGCAACACCTCCTCCTTAATATCTATCCTTCATTACTGTCTTGGTTGTTCTTGGCTTCTGTCTTTTTATTTCAATGTTAGAATCAGTTTGTCAAGTTCCTCAAAATATTCCTATTGTTATTTTGAATGGAATTGCATTGACTCTGTGGCTCAATTTGGGAAAAATTTTCTTGCTTACATATTCAAGTCTTTCTATCTTGGAAAACAGGTCATCTCTCTATTTGTTTAAATCTCTTTTAGGGTTTTTAAGAAAGATACAGAATTTATTCACGAAGGTCTCACCCATCTTCTGTTACTTTTATCCCTGAGTGCTAGCTTTTGCTGCTCTTATAAATGCTATTTTTTTTAAAGGTGCATTTTTGGGTTGCTTATTGCAGGAATACAGAATGAAAGTACTTTTTAAAATAAGTCATTTCATTGAAATTCAGAAACAACCCAAGTTGGTCTTGAGTGTCATTTATATCTTGTTGTTTTGGTAGCTGGGGAATTCTTAAATCTTATTCCTAAGCCTGTTCATCTGTTCTTTTTTTGAGATACAGATACTATCTGAAAAGTTAGTGATATTCTTATTTTTAATTGTTGTAGCTTGCTGAATCAAAGCGGCTGGATTTGCCACAGACTTAAGTTTAGTTCCTTCAAGAATCAACTCATCTTTTCAGACTTTGGGTACTAAGCAAGAAACACTTGGCCGCAGGTATACCTTGCAGGTGTATTATTGGTTGCAAGTGTATATTTCAAACAATGACCCACCCTCCCGAATAATTACTTTGATGAGGAAGTGCAAACACATTGACCTATCCTCATCTGGCAACAGAAGTCCATGTTGCACCTCAGATGGTGGGCAGCGTGTGACTGCAGATTATGTCAGTTACCTTTCATTTCCACACCATTTGGCAACACAGAGCTTCTCCTTTCTCTTTCCCACACTCATAGTGTCAAATT